GGCTCTTTCGGGCCAACCCAAATCTGATGAATTACTTTTGGAATCCTTGGAAACATCTGAAGGGCTGAAAGTCAACAGCGCTTTCTTCATTCATGGGGTCCCTTTGTGTGCAGTCGTTTGGCACTTTGATACAGCATCTGCCTCATTGTTGGCCCTTCTTGCATTTCTCTGTGCAACAGGCAAATGGCAGTCTACTGCAAATCTTTGTGTATCTTCGTGTATGCGTCTCTGCACGTTTGCACAATCATAAATTTGTTGTTGCCAGGAGCCAGCAACAAAGCAGCTTTCCGTACATGGTTCAAAGCAGCTTTCCAGTCAAGAATCGCTGCAGAACCTAGGGAAGCCATATAGTCCTCACAGCCTTGGAAGGCGAGGAGAAGCCTTGAAAAGGTGTGTGTTGCCGTGCTTTGCCCACTGTCGGCTTCCCCTCGGCTTCCCCTTGCAGGAATTCACATGGAATTTCATAGGGTCTCAACCTTGAAGCATTTGGCAAGTACTGATGTGCGAGGAGCTTCCAAATGTCCATTCAGAAAGAAACACTGGGTTGACGGCACCTCCAAAAAGCCAAAACGGCTTAGACGTTTGAGCGTGTGTATATATATAATATACAGGTATAGCTGCCAAACCAATCCACTAGCTACTAGTAGCTTCTTGTTACTAGTAGGAAGGCCAGGAGCCCCTAGTAGCGTCCTTGTTACTGGTAGTAATGCACCTTGCCACTGGTAGCGTCCTTGCTACTAGTTGGTACGGGAGCGACTCGGAGCGACAAGCACTCCCACGCACCTAAGCAGGCTGAGTCGCGCTTCGTCCAAACTTCAGGGTTGCGTACTCGGCACTCTCGGCGATCCCAGTGGTTGAATTCTCCAATCGGACCCACGTCCAAGCTGGGAAAACTTTTCAGCACGGCCTGCCATCTTGATCCGAGGTACGTACCAAAACAGCCTTGAAACGGGATTTCCAACGAACGAATACCATGAATACTTCTATTTCCAATCTGGCCATGTGTCCGGTGGACTTTTGCATGGCCACGACAACCTTGTTTATTCCTAACAAGCCGAAGCAAACCTTGACAATGTAGTCGTTGGTGGAGGTAGCATCCCGGGAACACTGCAACAAGTACTGGACAAAGCCCACAACCGCCATTGCTGCGTCTACGTTTGTCGGCTTGCCTGCAGTATCTACAGCGAAGACCAACCGTCCCAACATTATCTTTTTCCTGCCCTCTGTCTGAATATATAAGGGATATATATGATCGCATATGTTCCAAAGCAATTAAATACAAGAGTTGAACACAAACTTTCGACCAGCTTCGAGAACATCTCCCTGCTGTTGCCAGAGTGGCACAGCACTTCCACCCTGTGAACAACAAGTTCGCTCTTTGCTTTCAAGGCTCAACTCTATTCAATAGGTACTCAAATGGATATTCCTCTGAGAAAGCATTTGAATGCTTTTGAGTATGGCTGGGGCATGTTTCACAAGACACTTCACACAATTTCTGCACTCTGTGTGACACTCACTTCCCAACCATGTTTTGCACATGACTCCACATGACACACTCGGCCTGCAAGTCAGTCTCTTCCTGCCCCAAGTTCCGTGGCACAGTGCTGGCACCATCAGCACCGCCAAGCATAGACCAACCTGACAGAAACCAAAACAACGCAAGAACCATGCCGACACTTCCTACAAAAATCTACAAAGCTATAAGTTTTAAGGATCAATTACTCACTACTGATTGTTCACGGTTAGTTGACCTGATAGACCTGCTCACAATCCAACACACATGTTAAGGAGGCAAAAGGAACCTGTTATATCTGGTACACTGTTCACAAACAGTGACTGCAATAATTCAGATAGAGTATGGCAGGAAACAGCTATGGCAACAGTGGATGATTCGAACCATCTATTGCAGCAAAAATGATCGAACAATTCCTAGCTAAGTCCAACTACGTCACTACGTCCTACCGTTTCGATTTTCAAATACAGTTTGCCTGAGTCATCTGGAGTCCTACTTCCTGAAGCTTGCCTTTTAGTCTCTTTGCGGCCCAAACAAGATTTTGGTCGTTTGTTTTGCCGGCTTTGCCTTACTCCACTGTGACTTCTGTGACTTTGCAGGAATATGATGCTCCAAAGAACAAACAGTGTAGTTACTACACAATACACGTCAAAACGCATCCCGTCGTTCTGGGTCGCTCTGAGTGGCTGGGTCGGTGATGTAAGTGTGGCTCGCCGCTCTCCTGCACATGGCCCCGAATAGCCCCGTGACCCGCCGATGTCCAAATAGATAGTTTTTTGTTTATTGTTTATATAACTTTTTAAAGGAGAACGTATATAACTAATTGCGATGGCCTCCAACCTACTAGCGATGGCCTCCAAAATAAACATTGAAAATGTCACAAGAAGACTTCAAGACCATGCCAAACTCTATCCTTTCTTGCCTGAAGAGTCACAAAGGTCGCCTTTGATCTACCCCCTAGTCTTTGAAAATGCCAACACAGACTTTCAGTGTCATATCAGTGCAAAAAGCCACAACACCTTTGAATGCCATTCATTACCTCTCAAAGCGCTCACTGGAGCAGCAACTTTTTTATAAACACACACACAGCATGCTCAGCAAAGTGAAACTCAAGCTCTGGGGGTCGCTTTTGCGGGCCACCGCCCAGAGGGGCTCACTAGAGGAGCAGCAACAAAGAGATTCGTTCATTAAATTGGAAGCTATAGGGAATGCATCAAATGACACCCACCGGGTTCTTAAAAAAAGAAAAACGGCCATCCAGTATGAAGCCATTGGGTAGCTCACATGTACTGACATGACATGAAAATGGCAATTCTTTTCTGACGGCCGGTGGGTGGGAACCATGACGTGGAACAATTTTTGTGATTTTTTAATTTTCTTTTTTTTTAAATGAAGCACCCGGTATCAAGTGTCTAAAATATTCGCAGATTGGCAGTGTTTTTATTTGATAAATTAGTAATCATATGTTTCCTTCCTGCAAAGAGTCCTCGGGTGCAGCAGCACCTTCATTGATCGCTGCTTCAAGGGCGGCTTCCACCACCTCGAGCGTATTGGGCGCCGTTGCCAAGCGATCGCAAGGTGGAGACTCCGAGATATTGCCAAAGCAAATTCCAGGAGACAAAATAGATTGGACAAAGAAACAACAAATTAAAGGGAAACTTAACTATTAGCGATGGCCTCCAATCCAATAGCGATGGCCTCCAATCTAACAGGGATGGTCTCCAACCTAGAACCAATGGCCTCCAACCTGATAGCGATGGCCTTCAATCTAATAGCGATGGCCTCCAATCTATAGTGATGGCCTCCAATCTAATAGCGATGGCCTCCAATCTAACAGGGATGGTCTCCAACCTAGAAGCGATGGCCTCCAACCTGATAGCGAGGGCCTTCAATCTAATAAGAACACACGTTGCAGGTTGCAGGTCAGCTTTTAAGAACAACTGTCCATTTGCACATGTGAAGTATGATGAGGCACGATAAAGCGTCACTGAATAAACGCGTGCTTGCATAACTAGTATCTGACCCGTCCGATATTTTTCATGCATCCCAACACGCGGACAAGCACGGCAACCACTAAGTTCAAGAAGGGGTAGTGTAGTTCAGACAGGAGCTGGAGCGAACATCTCAGGCTCGTTTCTGACATAGGAGAGGCCATCGCTAGTAGTTTGGAGGCCATCGATATTATTTAAGTGTCCCTTTTAATTAAACTCTAATTTATGTATTGTTTCTACTAGCTTCTTGTTCCTAGTAGTAAGGCCCTTGCTCCTAGTAGCGATGCCCTTTGCTACTAGTAGCGTCCTTGTTCCTCCCTTTTAATTCGTTCTTGTACTCTAATTTAAAATAGATTAATAGCGAACATTGTTACTACTAGTAAGGCACCTGTTACTACCAGCGTGGCACCTGTTACTACTTCTTCTAATAGCGTTCTTTTAATTCGGAAGGCTTTTTGAATCTTCGGCCTGGAGCTCCGCTCGCAGCGCGTTCTCCCGCGCTCGCAGCTCACGAAGGCGAGCCGACTCCATGGCCGCCGTGGCTTTGGTCACAAAGCTCGTGAAGTTCGTTTTGTTTTTTTTTGAATATGTTGACACTGTGATTGCCTTACTAGCCTCTAACTAGTCTGCTTCCCAAGCTTTAGATGTGCAAATATTTTTCTAGCAAACCATCCCGGCCTGTCCTTCTTTCAGAACTATGCAGCACAAGAAGGAGGTGGAAAAGCAAATGAACACAAAGCACCGTTGTGCTACTTCATGCTGATCACATGGGCCATTGTCTTTCGTAAACAGCTCCGGAAAAATGCAACCATTTCTTCCAGGGGTTTTCTTGGATGCGGCAAAAGTATGCAACAGTGCGAATGAGGCGACTGTATGAGGCATGAGATGAGGAGGAGGAGTAGTGAAGAAGCAAAAATAACATGAAAAATACCGTGGGCGGTATTCCGACTCCCTTTTGATGGGCAGAACAGGTCCAAAAATTGGGCCTGATAGACTATTCTGCACTTGCCAGGTGTCAACTCCCTGTGTGACGTGGGTGGAGTGGCACCTGACAAAACGAAACAAAATAGGAAGCTTAGGGAGAAGACACTAGGAATTAGGGACTTGCACGATCAAAGAAATAGCATTTGAACTGGCCAGCCATCAACTTCCTTCCACTCTGCTGAAAGTGCCAAGGTCGGGACAAGCAAAGGTAGCAGATGCGCCCGGGCCACGAGATGCAGCGATAACGGCGATAAGGCGATGGGTGTTCAGCTGGAGAATAAGCCCTGCTCCTAACTTGATACCTGATTTCTCGACCGGACTAAACTAGTCACCAGTGGTTTCTACGTCAGATTTTTGACAAACTGTCGGACTTCAGGACCCTCAGGACCCTCAGGACCCTTGAGTCAAAATGAACCCAACCTCTGAATTTCATTGACTAGTCTCGTCCTGCAGTGGGAACGTCTCCTGTGACCTGTCTCCGAGTCCAGATCCAATGTCACTTGGAGGCCAGCATGGATCCGGGTGGTGGTAGGATGGTCAAGCCGGTGATACGCACCTTGCAAAATGTGTCCACCGCAAAGCATAGAGTGGCAAGTGTCTTGCTTGCAGTTGAAGAAAGCTAGTCCTTGTCATGCTCACCCTTCTGCCACTTGTGGCCCAGAGGGGGGTGGCAACGCTGGGGCTCTTTAGGCAGCAAAAGCTGGCCGGGAATCGCAACATGCCATGGCCAAGGGAAAGGAGAGTGCCAACAGCGCCCCCCCAATACGACCCCAACACAGCCAACACATGGCAACACACAACCACCCCAGCAACCGCAGCAGCAGCAGCAACAGCCACGACAACAATAACTGTAACCAGCAGCGGCAGCAGCAGCAAGCAGAAGCTACCAAGCAGCAGCAGAAGCAGCAGCAGGAGTAGCTAGCAAGCAGCAGCACCAGCTACCAAGCAGCAGCAGCAGCAGCGGCAGGAGCAGCTACCGAGCAACAGCACCAGCTACCAAGCAGCAGCAGCAGC